TATATAATATGTATTATATATATATTTAATATAATAAAAAAAAATATATATATATATATATATATACTAAATTATTAAACAAAAGTTAAGAGGTGGAGACATGGCGCGAAAATAAGAAGGGATCCTAGTGTTATAGAGGTTGTAGGACATATTCCCCATGTTTGGGAGACGAGTGAGAGACTAAAATTTTGTCTATGTAGAGTAGAGATTTTAAGAAGAGAGAGAGAGTGAAAGTAAAGATTTTAGGAAGAGAGAGATATTGTTTCTATATCTTATTGAGAAATAGAACTTTTTTTATCCAATATTTTCCTCAGATTTGTACGTGAAGAGTAGAGAAAGAAAATCTCCACCCTTTCCTAATATTTTATGCGTAAAGAGTATTTTAGGAAGAGAGAAAAAGTAGAGATTTTAGGAAGAGAGAGAAAACATAGAGATTTTATGGGGAGAGAGACATTTTTTTAATATTTTAATGTGAGAAATAAGAGATTTTTTTCCCTAAATTTTGGTTCAAACTTCCTAAAATAGGTACATATCCCAATCTCAAATTCAAGAGAGAGAAATGCATATATATCAAGTTATCCGTATATGTCTAAGATGGTTTCCATATCCAAGAGGATTCTCCATCCAAACATGATAACATGTCTCAATGGAAGCATGCCCCACTTTTTATTTGGGAAAATATATAATAAGACCATTTACCTTCGCTACAAGGTGATCACAATAAATCTTGACTGTTAGATGTAAAATTGGGTACTAGCATTTATTTCATTGACCAAGCAAAGTTCAAAAGAATTTTCTCGAAGTTTGTGACACACCAAAGCTATCAGATTTCATATCGGATGGTTGTAAGTGTTGGGTTTATGTAGCCTTTAAATACCTTATGAGAAACTGTATAAAACATATTTAATAAATGAAATATAAACTCAGTAGGAGTGTGATCCTTTTGTGGACCATACTAGGCAAATGTTATTTTCTGATACTCAGATTAGGCTTAACGAGCTAGGCCAGCCGACGTTTGGAAAAACCCAAGATACATGTGTATAGGGATCTAACCGATAAGGGTTTAGTTGGTTAACCTTTGATGAGGTCTGTGTATGTCTGAATGAGAGACGATGGCCCGTGTGGCCCTTACATGTGGTGAATAGCCTTTAGAGATAGGGCAAAAACATCATCGTTATATCATCGGCATGTACATAAATAGCCGTTTTGATATTCTTCAATGAAGGTGAAGCGTGGACATGTGCTAGAGATTACTCTTATGCACCATAGAGTCATGGTTGCATCATGGTTTGGAGGACCAACCATGATTTTTTATCTCTAGGGAGAACTTGAAATCCATAAACTGGGATTGCGTCCCTTAGTCGATTGGCAGACTTTGATGATCCAATCATGAGCCCTTGCAGTGGACTGTGGGTCATGAGAACTGCTGGGTCAGTTTGAGAAAGCTAGGCGGATCGTAATTCGCAGTTGAAAGCGGAATGCTCTGAGGTATTGATAATTTTCTTGATTTAATGGATCCTATTCCTATCAAAATTAATTAATTTTATGTTATGTGATTTTTAGAATGTTTATTTGAATTTTTGTGAATATTTTAATATTTAATTTTTTATCATTTGGATTTATAAATTAAGAGAAATTAATTTTTCAATGTTTTAAATAAAATATAAGATTTAAAAATTCTAAATATGAAATAAAATATTTTCTAAAAATATATTGGACTTCCATAAAATATGGGGCCCACAATTTAAAAACATATGGATTCGGTGGGCCCGTAGCCCCCAAGAGGTGGCACGCCCCACCCATTCACATTATTCTTCTTGGAAATAATATTTATCCTATTGGTTGGCTTATCTTTTTAGGTATAGCCAACTTATGTGATAAGGTTAAATATTTGAGATATTTATTATAACTTATGTGATAAGGTTGATTATTTTAGATATTTACTAAATCTTTTGTATCAAGATGTGTTAAGTTAATAAATAATGATTTAATATATTAAAATATAAACTTTTTTTATTTGATGGGAAGAGATTTAGGAAAATGAAGAATAAGACTCTAGTTCATCTCTTTGAATGTTGATGGTGGATCAAGGAAATTGATGGCTCAAATCTCTCACCCCATGTCTCTCTAGATCGACAGTTGAGATTTGACCTATGGGGTAAAATCTATGACATTGAAAAAGGAGGTCTCCCATCATAAAATACATACGTATTCTCTTTTCTCTTTAAGAATTATCTCTCTCCCTACCCCAAATTTAACTCTCTCCCCCAATTTTTATCTCTCTTTCCAAGTTGTTTTTGGTGGCACACCTAAGCCTTTTATCTCTCTCTCCAAGTTGTTTGGGTGGCACAAGGGTGGCACACCTAAGCCTAGGTGGTGTTTTTCTTTGTGAGTACCAAGTTGTTTTTGGTGGCACACCTAAGCCTCGGTGGTGTTTTTCTTTGTAGGTGGTAAAGGGATGGAACCCTTGGCTAGTAGATCTCTCCCTTTATCTTGATATACATCTCTAATCTATCTAAAATCAAGCTAAGAGGCTTGATCAAGATTAATTCATTAAGTGGATTTTTGCTATAGTAGGGAAATCAAATACTGATCATATATCTCGAGCTCCATCGGAAGGATGAGGGGTCTACTAAGCCTGGTTAAGGTAATCTCCGGCAATTTTACCTTTTTAAATATTTATTTATGGTTTGATCTTCTCTTCTCATAAAACAATAAAGTTTAGTTTTGTTTGTTGAACTATAAAGTAATAAAGTCTAGTTTTGTTTGTTGAATAAAGAATTATATTTCAAGAGGTAGCAATTGAAAATTGATTTTATTCTATTTTATTTATTTCAATAGTGGTTTGATTGTATTTGGACATTGTAAGTGATTTTGCTAGTTTGATTGTATTTGGACATTGTAAGTAATCTTGCCGGTGTAGGAATAAAGAATTTTTATAAAAATATATACACCGTGCTTTATCACAAAGTCCTTTCAGTAAGTAATTGTGACTCCTTTTTTTTTCCTCTATTTTTTGGTTTGAACTTCCTAAAATGGGCACCAATCCTAAACTCAAATTCGAGAGAGAGATATGCATATATATCTAAGATTATTTCCATATCCATAAGGACTCCCCATCCAAGCATGATAACATTTCTCAATGGAGCACGCCCCCACTGTTTTTCCCCTACTTTATTGGTTCAAACTTCCTAAAATTGGTACTTATTCCCAACTCAAATTGAAAAGAGAGAAAGATAGAGAAAGATATGCATACATATCTAAAATTGTTTCCATATCCAAAAGGATTCCCCATCTAAGCATGATAACATTTTGTTTCCCCATCCGAGCATGAAAACATCTTTCAATGCATGCATCCCCCACTCTCTTTCTATCTCTTTCTCTCATTAGATAGGATTTTCATGTTATAGACGTTAGAAAACCCTAAAGGGACCTCATTTAGTATTCTGTGCTTAATTGTGGGAAGAGAAAGAAATGTTGGTACATATTTTTCTACATTTAAATTTTGCTATTGCAATAATTTTCACATTCAATGAAGCTTAACAAAGTTGATATTAAAGGTAAGTTATAGTAATTCCTTTTATTTTATTTTTTCTATTATTTTTGTTTGTATTTTTTATGTATTTATATTGAAGGTAAGTCATAGTAATTCTTTTTATTTATCTATTGCATTACCTTTGTTTGTATTTTTTTTCAGGTGTTCGTTGTATTTTTTAGGTGTTTATATTAAAGGTAAGTGTTTCTTACCTTTAATATTTTTTAATGTGTTTATGAAGATTGAGAAACACATTAATCTTTAAAGGTAAGAGAAACCTTGTTTTTCCCAAGGTACATAATTATTTTTATTTTTTAAATTTCATAAGTACTTGCTTTGAATTAATTTGTATATGGTCTTATTTTACGGACGTTCTACTTGAAGTAAATAATAATAGACAAAAATTACAAGGAAAATAATTACAAATGTTTACTCTACTTCACAACATCAGTGAGTTTTTGGATAAACTAATATTTCACAAGGTGTTTCTATACCAATGACAAATAGTATCCCTTCATCGTCAAACAAATTCTCCAATGATAATAATTTTTCCCACTCAGAGAGAAAAGTTCCTCACGTAATATTGACAATGACAATGGTACGAACTCAAAATTATTATCGTTTTATACAAATTTTCATGATATATTTTTTGGAGAAAAAAATTGTAACAAATTATAAATTTTTGTTACTTTTTTCTTTTTAATTATAACTACTTCTCCATATTATTATAGTTAAAGATTTTTTATTATCTAAGGGGTGACTCATGATTAATTTAATATTTTATTAATAGATCTCTTTCATCATTGAATATTTAGTTAATCTGTTACAAGTAATTGCATACATGCAACATAATTCAACTAGTATATTATAATGGCATGGTGACGTGATATCATTTCCCATATATATTTATATATATGATTTCATGCAAATGAATACAACAATCTTCAAAAACTATGTCCGGGCCATTTGTTTTATCCAAAATTTAGAATATACACTCTTTTCATTCTAATGAAGAATCACAAAAAAGAAAAATTTGATAACGCAATCTAGAAAGTATTTTTTAACCCAATTAACATAGGTCGTCCATTTTGATAAGATGCTTAGATTTAGCATTTAGAAAGTTTTTTCTTTTTCAATTTTGTTAGATGGCTTTATTGTTATTAGATGAAAAATGTTAAAAAAGAAAAAAAATGATTTTCAATTTGTAAAAGCTAAGATCTTGAAATGCACCAAATGAATGGTCTAAATTCGTTATTGGAGGGGACTCATTTTGACCATATCTAGGGTTCAAATTAAATTTTATTTTATTTTTTTGGAATTGATTATTGAGATGAAGAGAGTTTGTGTGTAAAATTTTGAGACAAATACCACAAACATGATTTTCTAAAAGTGTGGTAGCATTATTCTATTCTAAAAGTGTGGTTGCATTATACTATGAGACGACCGATGCATTAGATCAGTGTCCCACAAATAAATATAGTCTGTTAACCAAATTTTCCACAACTCACTTTGAAATTTCAGCCCTTCCTTTACTATAAATCCAAGGAATAGGCTGCACAATAACCCATCTCTTTCATCCCTTTCAACAAATCATCCAAGACCTCTCTCACCTCTCCAATACGCGCATGCTTATCATCACCACCATAGAAATAGTGCACTTCTCTCTCTACCTCAACCCAACTGCACCCAACCTCTTTTCTCAACCTTTTTCTTTTCATCTCCTCTCTCACTCTCTCACATTCCTGCCACCCTCCAACTGATGCATACATATTAGCCAACATAACATAATTTGCCGAATTCTCGTCATCCAAACTCAACAAAACCTCTGCAACTTCTCGACCCATTTTCAAATCACCATGAATTCTACAAGCTCCAAGCAATGTTTGCCATATCCCTTTACTGGGTTCCAAACCCATGTCCTTAATTAGCTTAAGAGCATCATTAAGCCTGCCGGCTCGTCCTAAAAGATCGACCATGCAAGCATAGTGTTCAAGCCTTGGGTGAATTCTATAGATCTTGGTCATTTGTTCAAAATATTTGAATCCTTCTTCTATGAGTCCTCCATGGCTACAAGCAGTGAGAGTAGCCAAGAATGTCACTTCGTCTGGTTTGATTCCCTCACTCTGCGACTTTTCAAAGAGTTTCGTGGCCTCTTTGCCATAACCATTATTGCCATAGCCGGTGATCATCACTGTCCATGAAATGACATTTTTTGAAGGCATTTCATCGAAAGCTTGACGAGCTTCTTCTGTGAAACCACATTTGAGGTACATATCCACAATCGAGTTTTGTACCGAGATATCAGAACCCAGGGGGACTTTGGTGGTGTAACAATGGAGTTGTTTTCCTTGTTCACATAGAGCCATGTCTGCAAAAATCCCAACCATGGTTGAGAGAACAAAACCATCAATTGGAACCCCTGTTCTTTGTAACTGTAGAAATAAATCCATGGCTTCTTCAGGTTGGCCTGCTTGAGCATATCCAACAATTAAAACTGTCCAAGAAACCACATTTTTCTCATAGATCCTATCAAAAACTTCCTTTGCCTGATCCATTTCCGAACACTTCGCATAAAGGTCAGCCAAAGCGCTTGACAAAATAGTTCTCTTTGAAAACCCATTTGCTATCAGATGGCCATGGATCTGTTTCCCTTCTTTTAGGGCGCAGAGGCTTGTGCAAGACTTCAAAACACTAGCAAAAGTGAACTCATCAGGTTTCTCTCCTTGACTGTGCATTTTCCTAAACAGAAACAAAGAGTTTTTCCAATGCCCCAAATGACTGAAACCCCCAATCATTGAATTCCATGATATTAAATTCTTCTCAGACATTTTATTGAATGCATGTGTTGCATCCTCAATTTTACTGCACTTTGAATACATATCAATAATTGAATTCCCAACCACTGTATAATCTTCATACCCCAATTTGACACTAAAAGCATGAATCTGTAGACCATTTACGAGCACACCCAAAGAGCTGCATCCTTTGAGATTAGTTGATAAGGTAACCTCATTGGGATGGACCCCCAAAAGAACCATCTGAGAAAAGAGAGAGAGGGCCTTTATAGCAAGCCCATGGTTTACATAACCACCCATAAGTGATGTCCACGAGACCACATTTCTCTCACCCATCCTATCGAACAGCTTCTGCGATATGTCAATTCTTTTGCATTTCGCATACATATCTACCAAAAAATTGGTTAAAATTAAATTTGATTCAAGACCCATCTTTAGAATAAATCCATGGGCCTGGGAGCCATGATCGAGCCACCCCATCTTTGCACAAAAGCTCAGATGCTTTGCCAGACTCTGATGCTCCGCCATTGATGGGTTCGAGTATAACGGTCATTAGAGCAATAGAGGACAAGTTTGTGCCTCTATTGCAAGGCTGTAGAAGCGTCATAGAGTTGAAACCGATCCATGCTCAGGTTCTCAGATTTGGATTGAACCAGAGCAACTTCTTGGCCACAAAAATGGTGGATATATGTGATATCAATGGGGACATAGACTATGCTGCTTCTATCTTTAGGCAAGTGCTCAAACCAAACGTTTTTCTATACAATGCAATGGTAAGAACTTATAGCCATAATGGCCTCTTTAACCAAGCAATTTCACTGTACAAGCAAATGCCAAGAGAGAAAGAAGAACCAATATCACCAGACAAGTTTACCTTCCCATTTATTCTTAAAGCTTGTGCAGGCCTCCTTATTCTGGACCTTGGGAAACAGATTCATAGCCATATATGCAAACTTGGGCCTGATCAGAACACATACATTGAAAATGCTCTCATGGACATGTACACAAAATGCGGAAGCATAGCATCAGCCCAGCAAGTGTTCGATGAGATGAGGGAGAAAGATGTAGTCTCATGGAACGCACTCATAACTGGGTATGCAAGACTTGGGAACATGAATTCAGCGACCCGATTATTTAATCAAATGCTTGAAAAAACGATAGTCTCATGGACTGCAATGATCACGGGGTATACAAATGCAGGGCGATCAGCCGATGCCTTGAAAATTTTTCGAGAAATGCAGCTTACGGAGACAAAACCTGATTATATAAGCATTCTATCCATACTCCCCGCTTGTGCACAGTTAGGAGCTTTAGAGGCCGGGCAATGGATCCATTCCTTTGCAGATAAGAATGGGCTCCTGGAAAAGACATGCATATGCAACGCCCTGATAGAGATGTATGCAAAGTGCGGAAGCATAGAGAAAGCAAACCAAGTATTTAACGAGATGTTAATAAGAGATGTGATTTCTTGGACCATAATGATCAGTGGACTGGCTAGTCATGGCAGGGCCCAAGAGGCCATTAACCTATATGTAAACATGAAAAACGAGGGCATCAAGCCTAACAGTATCACTTATCTCGGGGTCTTATCAGCTTGTGTCCATGGAGGACTGGTAGTGGAGGGCTTAAAGCTCTTTGAGTCCATGACAAAGGAACATTGTATAGACCCAGAGGTGGAGCACTATGGGTGCATAGTAGATCTTTATGGGCGCTCGGGTTTTCTAGATGAGGCACTCCAATTTGTCCAGAGAATGCCCATTAAACCAGATGCCACAATTTGGGGGTCTTTGCTTAGTGCTTGTAGAACACATGGCAATGCTAGAATAGCCATGGTTGCTATGGAACGTCTTCTTGAGCTGGAGCCCAAGGAAACTGGGAACTATGTGCTGATATCAAATATATATGCAAACGAGGGCCGATGGGATGATGTTTCCAGAGTGAGAAAATTGATGAGGCGTAAGAAGTTGCAGAAAACACCAGGATGCAGCTCGATTGAGGTGAACAATGTGGTCACAGAATTTGTTGTTGGAGATGATTCACATCCAGAATTAGATAAGATGTATGAAATGTTGGGCGTGTTGGCTCATCAACTCAAGAAAGAAGAGGAGCCATCTTTAACAGAGTTGGCTTTGTATGAGTTTTTGGAGGCCGCAAATGCATGACATAATCAAACTCCATTTGAAATTTTCTTTTCTGATACAGCAAAACCTTCAGGGCCTGTTTGGCGGAATATATTACAGTACGTAAATGGCTTGTTACCTATAAAATATCCTCTCTTTTTTTTGTCACAAAATTCTACTAAAATGCAGAATAATCATTTCTTTATTTTTGTTATAAAATTCCACTAAAATACGGAATTAAAATCATCATCATACATTCCAAAAAGATTTCTAATAATAACATCATCACCATTCCAAAAATATTTTCTAATAATAACTTTGCCATTTTGGAGTCATCATGATACCATTTATTACTTATTTTAAGTGCCTTTGGCACTTACATCGAATCACATGTCTTCTAACATGAAATTGGTTTAAACATGATAAGTCATTGAAACAATATGATTGGAATAACATGATTTTATTATAATAAGTCTTATTTTTATTTATTTTTTATAAAAGTCTTTCAAATGTCTCTCAATATAATTTCAAATAAACAATAAATTTATGATACTAAATTCAAAATCTCTACTCTATGGTACGAGTTAAAAATGAGAAGAAGTTTGATTAGTAAACTAAAAATTTTGGTAATTGCAGTATAAAATTTTTGAGGTATTGGAGACCGAAAGAGGTATGTTATTTCAATTAGTAATCTCTTATGAGGATTATGTTGTGTGAAATTTTTTATTATGATTGTGTTGTGTAATTTATATTGATTACTGATTTTTATTTTTATTATTTTTGTTTTTATATGTCAACTGAGGTCTTCAAATAGAGGGGACGAGTTTAAAAAGAGAGGGACTACATAACTAGTTATTATTATCAAGAGAGAGGGACGAGTTTAAAAAGAGAGGGATCACCTAACTAGTTATTATGGAGAGAGAGGGACAAGATTAAGAAGAGAGGGACCACCTAACTAGTTATTATGGAGAGAGGGCATACAAGTGAAGATTTTTTTAATCATAAATAGGGTAGACAAACACGCACCCGACACTTCCGTAATATATTTTTCACTTATCACCGCCCGTAATGGATTTCACGTATCACTTTTCATTTCTTTGGATTTCCTGATTTTTGGGAAAATTGTATCCAAACAGTAGAAATCCATATTTCTTTATAATACCCAGGCACTGTAAATTCCATATTTCCTTGGAATCTATGTTTCCTTGTAATCTATTGTCCCGTAACAAATTTCCAAGTACCCAAACGGCGCCTCAATGTTTTTATAAGTGAAAAAAATATACAAATTTTTTTTTTTTTGTTTTTTTTTATTTTTTTGTTTTTTTTTTTCTTTAGAGTTGAAGTCTTGTTTGTGTGTTCATCCAAAGTGCCTTGACATTTTGGTTGCTTTTCTTCGACCCACTTCATCTTCTCAAGAATTTGTGGTGATAGAACTCCTCAAAGGACAGGCGATTTTCTGTATAAGTGATTAATTGAATCAGATGTATTCGTGATTTTGAATTGTTCGACAGAATGACTAGGTTATGAGTTTGACATGCCTAACCTGGATTTGAACATAGTAATCTTGTACAGATATCTACAGAGTCTGGATGTAGACCAGGAAGGATAATGTGTGAAAATGGTAGGCTTTTACTCTCCCTTATTTTCTGAAGCAGCTGCGAAAAAATTAAACCCACATTTTATACAACAATTTAGAAGTGAATATATCTAAAAAATTCTATTTTTTCCTTTAATTTTCATGGATGCAGGAACGAGATTGAAAGCAACCTGAACATTGTTTCTCCCACTCAAAGGGGGATATCCATTTAGAAGCTCAAAGAGAATGACTCCAATGCTCCACATGTCGACCTGGATACCGGTTTTTAATAGTCAGATATCGGTTTTAAATTTGTTAAATGAAGAATAAATAAAATAAATCAATTTAGACAGGAATAATAACATGCCAAATTAAAAGACATGAAGGAAAAATAACGAACCAGTCAAATAGAGAGTTGGAGAAAAAGGAAAATGGATGGAAAGCATCTCACCTTTTCATCATATTTTTGAAACAGCATAACTTCAGGAGCCATTTTAATTTGCTAAATGAAGAATAAATAAAATAAATCAATTTAGACAGGAATTATAACGTGCCAAATTAAAAGACATGAAGGAAAAATAACGAACCAGTCAAATAGAGACTTGGAGAAAAAGGAAAATGGATGGAAAGCATCTCACCTTTTCATCATATTTTTGAAACAGCATAACTTCAGGAGCCATGTAAGGAGGTGACCCACAAACAGTCTCCACATGATTGCCAGGGACAAGCACCATGATAGAAATCAATGCAGCAGGAGCAATATAAGTTTGTGAGCCAGTTATGGGTCTCCACATTTCTTTTTCTTCCAATAGACTAAGAACGTAAAAATTTTCCAGAAACTGGTAGGTTTTACATTCATGCTTTTGCTTCTATAAATCAGCAAATCAATATGATACCCTGACAGAACAGGTATACAAATTTTGATGTTAAAAGCACGACGACAAAAAAAATAAATAACTACAAAGGGAAATGCAAACCAATAAATGAATATCAGAAATATAGACCATATAACACAAGTTGAAATCTGCACATTGGATCTTTCAAAATTGGACAAAAACATCAAACACCAGAGATTGCAAGTTGCCCTGTACAAGGGGTAGCAGCAATCACACCAAACAACATCTAACTCATTCTGCCCATGGTTTTGGAAATATTGGCGCAACTAGTTGAATGGATGCATTTAACTTAGATGCTTCAAAAGCAAGGGGTGTTCACTTGTAATTTCCAAGACTACGGTATCTCAAAAATCTGTAAAGATGACTCAGAAAGAAGAGAAATAATGAAAGGGTAATACAGATGCATGCCAAGATGGTAGGAAAAAACAATTTAGTTCTGAAAAATATAAAGGAAAGGTGTTACAGGGGTCGGGGAGTGCATAACTACATCTGCATCCCCCCGAGACATCAGACATCAATCTTTAAGAAGGATGTAGAGTAGTGGTCCTTCCAAAAAAGCTAAAAATCAACGGTCCAAATTTTCTCAAAAAATTATCTTTCTTGGTTTTAAAATTTATTTTTTTTACACATTACTGATTTATCTAACATTTTCTTACACATTACTAATCTCCATGTTAAGAGATTATATATACCTAAAAAATATGTCCATGAAGAAGGACCGCATATCTAGATATGAGTCCTAGGAGACTAATAAGAACTGTCCAAATATAAAAACGTAAATAGGAAAAAAAAAAAAAAATCATGCTGGAAACAAACAGGGTAATAATTTAAGCAAGGATATATTTTTCAATCGACAAACTAAAGGTACAATTACAGATTTTGAATCTTCAACTTTACGAGATTCTCAATAATGTTTACCTTGAGAGACCAAAATCAGCAATCTTTAGCACTGCATCACTATCAAGTGCGGAGAGGAGAATATTCTGGTTGAGAAAAAAGAAAAAACAATATTTTCATAAATTGAGAAGAATGTTGATTTTAAGCGGATAAAGATGAAAAGATTTCTTCCTAAAAATAAGGAATAATTAACCTCCTGTTTTAAGTCCCTATGGATGACATGAAGAGCATGTAGTACATTCAAACCCGACCCTGCAACATGACAAACATTTTCCTGTTATGAAATACTGTCAAATGGCGAAGCAATGGACAACCATTAATTATCAATCCAAACACAAATGCAAAAGTATAGTATGATCTAATGGATTATGGAAAAATCACAGTTCATTAGGTCCTCAACATCAATTTTAGATGATTGACAGTGATCAATAGGGAGTGGACACACCAAAATATGACCTGACCCCAATACGGGGCCAGCTCTCCCTCCATCACCATCCATTTCAATGGACAGGGATAACCCATTGGAATATGGTTTACCCATATTAGCAACATGCTTTCCTAGTAAAATTACCGAGTTGCTGCATAAATTTTCTAGCAATCTCTTCTTCAACTCTTCCATTTCTCCGAATGTATGAAGCCAAGTCTCCCCGTGCACAAAATTCCAGAACTAGGAAGACATGCCCAGCATCCTGACAAAAAAGAAAAAAGAAAAAAAAGAACCAAAGAAATTATATGTAAAGTGCAAGCAACACAAACTTTCACAAAGGAGATAAAGTTGCACAAAACTAAGTTAAATATAACTTGCAGATATGAGAGGTGTACACATCAAGGCTAAAAGTAATTATACCTTGACATATAGTTTATGGGAGTTTATACATGGGACTATTTATTTTTTATACAACGAGGCCACAATCATTTTTAGCCATTGGATGTGAAATCCAATAGATGAAAGTGTATCACAACATTCGAGAAATTTTGTTTTGCACTTTAGACCTAAGTAATGACACATCCTCAATCACCCGATTTCAAATCTAATGGTCAATGATGATTGTGATCTCCATGTACCAAAAAGTAATTGGTCCCATTGTATCATCATCATCAAAGCCTTCTTCCTAACTAATTGGGGTCGTCTATCCGAATCTTGGTCTGCAATTCTGCTTTGTTAAGAGCCATACTCTCAATGAGGCCATAAGTCCCCTCATCCTTTTCACTACGCCTACCCCTTGCCCTTTTGAGCCTTCCACTTGAACTAACTCGCACCTCTTAATAGGTGTGGTACTGAGTCTGCGCCACACATGGCCAGCTACCTAAGTCTATTTTATCTCATCTTATTGCCTATTAGTGCTACACCTAAATTCTTCCAAATGTATTCATTTCGGATTTTATCCTCATTTCGGATTTTGTCCCTTCTTGTATTTCAACTCATCCATCTCAACATATAGTTAGCAAGTCGGGAAATAATAATATATCAGCAAATCAAAACATTAGTAATAAATCTGTTTTATTTTAAAGAATCGGAAGAAAAAATAGGGTAAAAAATACGATCGCCCAAAAATAAGGTACGATATAGAATCATGAATATTTCTGACTTGGCTAAAAAAAACAGAGTGAAAATATCACATATGTAAAAATGACATAATATATGATTTATGATTTGCAGCAATTGTATAGATACATTAAAGCCATTGAAAAATTAATTTTATGGCCTTACCTAGTGTCATTAGAGTAATAGTTACTAGATAATTTTTACTTTAAACTCTCAATGAATCCAACAACAATGCCTACTTGTTGTCACAATACAAAACATATAATAAATAAATTGGGGCATAACATGAAACAACAACAACAATACCAAGCAGAAGAACTATATTAGTAAATAACAAAAATTGTAAACCAAGGTATATTATTATTGTTCATAGAGAACAAGAAAAAAGACCCTGAATATAAGAGTGTAACTAACTAAAAGAAACACAAAGATCCAAATATGTAAAATAACGACTCATTCAAAATGTTATGTTGTATACACCAAGGAAATAAAAAAATATAAATATAAATATAAAATAGTCAAACTTCTCTATGCATAAAGAAAGCAACAAAATTCTTAAGCCAATTTGAATCTCACATTGAATTCTTAGCTACCCAAATCTTTAGTATCATTGAATCTCTCTCTTACTCTTTCTAAGGACCTTACGGGTTTTATGGGAAAAAAAACTCACTCTTGCTCTTCATAAGGACGTTCCGGGTTTTAAGAAAAAAAAATATTTTATTGAGTTACTCTGCTTCTAACTCTAATTATTATTGTGAGATACACGAATATTGCTTGTATCAAATGCAATAGATTATGGGGAATATATTGCTCGTATTTTTGTACATTTTTTCTAAGGGAAGTTATTGGTGAAATTTTTTATGAAATTTTTGTTAAATCAATATTCTTAATTTACTCCCACTTAATCACTTATCTTAAAACCAAAATTCAATAATATTAAGCTAATCAAGAAACAAAATTATAGGGAAGAAGTTTTTTTTAAAATATTTTTTGAAACAAGCTAAAATATGGATTTATATCGATTCCATTAAAAAAACATGATTTTTTGAAGATCTTTTGAAACACATGGAGTTCTTAATGGATTTAAAAAAATCGGAGAATTTTTTAAAATATCATGTTTTAAACAAAGACTTGCTAACTATGTCTCAACATCCTCATCTCAGCTACACTCATTCTATGGGTATGTTATTTCTTAACCACCCGACATTCCGCCCCATAAAGTAAAGTTGGTCTCACAACTGTGTTATGGAACTTACCCTTCAACTTCATTGGTTTGCAGGATCACATAAAACTCCAATTGCACATCCCCAGTTCACCCACCCAACGCTAATTCTAAGTGCGACATCTAAACTCAATCTCTCCATTTCCTGGTTCATCGACCAAAAATATCGAAGTGCGGCTCTTTTTGGTACTTCTTGGTCGTTAATTTTAACTACTTCAACGTCTCTACTTTTAGTATTACCAAATATGCATTCCATATACTATGTAATCAAAACTATGTCATCTGCGAACAACATGCACCACAGTATCTCATCTTGTATGTGCCTAGTTAAGTCGTCCAAAACTAAGATAAAGAAGTATGGGTTCAATCCTGACCCCTGATGTAGACCTATTGTCATTGAAAACTCACTCGTCTCTCCACTAGTTGTTCATACACTAATTAGCGCTCCCTCGTACATATCTCTCACCAAGTCGATTTCGTTTCTTGAGACTTCTTTGTATATATTTCTATATTTTATTCTTTTTCTCTAGAACGTGATTCAGGGGATATAGAATGCTTCACCGAAATCTTGCAATGTATAAGCCCATACAATGTTTCAAAAAGTGTTAGGCGGGTTCTAAACGGCCTGGGGGGCCCAAGCCGCCCAGCGCTCAGGCGAGAGCCCAAAACCTGGGCGACCCAGTAGAATGAAAACTTGCATCTTATGCCTCCCAATGATTCAAAAAGCGGACCGTTCAGTGCCTAGGAAGTTGTCTAGGTGGTCCAGAAGGCCTGGGCACATCGCCCAGCCCTAGACGGTCAATCTATGCGGCAGTCCCTGGGCGGCCGCCCAGGAGGTACGGAACCCGCCTAGGCGAGCGCCCAGCTCAGGGCGACCGCTCAGGGCTTGGGACCCACCTAGCCGGTACGGAACCCACCTAGGAGGGCGCCCCACCCAGAGGCGAAATTTTTTTTTTTTTTATTTGATTTTTTTTTAAAATAATATAAAGGATTAGAAAGATGGTTTTAAGTTCATTTGAAACCTAAAACGTATTAAAGCTCATTTTAGACAGAGAAAGCCTCCAAAAAACTAGTTTTTGGTGATTTCTTTAGGATTGAAGGGTTTCTCAAAGTTGACAAAAATTGATCAAAACATCACCCATTAATATTAGATTTAATTTTTGATGTTTTATAAATCTATTAGGGGGATTTTTTAGAATATTTTGAGTCCTTAGAAGCATCTTTGAGGTGGAAGTTTGAAGATTGAGCAATCAGACTCAAATTAAGTGCCCTAAATACCTATTTTTTTACTATATATCCTTTTTTTATTCAAATGGACATCCTTTTTGGATTCGGCTGGGCCGCCTAAGTTAAGGGCGCCTGCCTAGGCATTGGGTGCCCTGGACCTCCTAGGCCGCCTAGGACCCGCCTAGGGCTTTTTGAAACATTGATACCTCTTTTTATATCATTTTCACAAAACTTGCATCTTATGCAATTTTAATCCGAAGGATTCAGGTTGTAGCAATATTTCCAACCCGGAACACCACTTCGATTATATCCTGAAGAAAACATCTCAAAATAAGCAACAAAAAAAATCATTAATCTCCAAACTTCCACCTCTAAGGTGTTTCTAAGGACTCAAAATGTTCTAAAAAACCCTCTAATAGATTTATAAAGCATCCAAAATAAAATCTAATATCCATGGGTGATGCTTACATCAATTTCTCATAACTTTGAAAAACCCTTTGATCCTATGGAAATCACCATAAACTAGCTTTTTGGGGTTTTTCTCTCTCTAAAATAGGCTCTAATAGGTTTAAGTTTTAAATGAACCTAAAACCCACATTTTTGCCCTTGTAATATTAAAAAAATAACAAAAATTGCCCTCAACGAGTAACTTTTCCACCTCTTGGAGGGGTGCAAGCTTTGGGCAAGGTGCCCGCCTAAGCAAGTTCCCAGGCGCCCAGGGATTTCCGCCTTTTTTTGCCACTTAGGCTTAGCCGATAGAATATTAAGAAATATGGCATTCCATTATTTGGGTATATTTTGAAGAAAAACTTTCTATGTTCCCCTACAACATAGAAGTTCTATCCTCCCCTACCATAAAGTCGTCCATTTTTTATCAAGAGAGCCACTCACCGTTTGATCTTAGATTCGACGTATTAAAGTATTTTATTTTAAGTTTTTTTTAATATAATTTTTTTGAATATGAAATTTGGTACGTGCCATCTTGTCATTGGGACGCACCTATAAAAAATATTGACAATAACTTTTCAATAAAAAATAATGACCAAAATACCTTTTGAAACTTTCAAAAGTGTTTTGATTATTTTATTTTATTGAAAATATATATTTTTATATTTTTTGTTAGTGCGAAATTAATAAAGGGATGAACATCTAAAATTTGGTAACAAAATAATTTAGAGAAAAAAAATTAAAAATAAAACCTGACATTTTGGTTGAGGCAATCTTAACCCGGAGAGTTGGATAAGAGAAGGATAGAATTTCTCTAAGAAAAACGTAAAAAGCTCTCCCATATTTTAATAGCAAAAAGCCAAAAACTCATGAAAGACGTACATGGAACCGATTACGTGAGGTGAGCGGTAAAAATCTATTACACCTGGCGACGGTTAATCTTTCGAAAGTCATTCGCACACGTCTCACTCTAATAAAAATTCATACTTTAATAAAAATTCATGTGCGCATTCTCTCTTAAAAAGCTGGAAGCCCTACCTCTCTCTTTCGCGGGCATCTCCACGTTCAAGGTCTCTCTCTGTAGAAATATACAGGTACTTTCTTTCTCTCCCCCCTTAGTCCTTGTGCATATCTCTCTCTCACTCTCTCTCTCCGTCCTGAGCCTTGTGCACTGTAGTTATGCATTAATTTTGGGCTCTCAAGACCCAACAGTGCCCTAATTGTCGGGCCAGCCCACTAATCTCCTTCTCTCTAAAAAACCCAATAAGGATTCGATAGATTGTCCGGCCAGCCCCCCACTCACCTTCTCGAACCCAACAATTTTATTTTTACTTTCTAATCTATGTTTTTCTGCATTTTTTAGGGCTCTCTGGATTTGGGTAACCTGAGGTTTTCTGCTTTTCTTTTTGTTCTTATGATGGCTTAGCATTGTATTTTATGTTGGTTTGCAGAAGTTGTCGTTTTAGTAATTTGAAAGTTTAATTCCTTAATTCTCTTTAATTTTCTACCAGTTTTAAGAAGTTGTCGTTTTAGTAATTTAAAAGTTTAATTCCTTAATTCTCTTTAATTTTCTACGAGATCAGTCAAATCTTGAATCAAGATCAGTCAAATATTTTGACATCATCTGAATTGACCACTAGTTTTTCTAGTTGATTGATGATTGTTTGCATAAAAAAGTGGCCGCAAATAAGATCTATTGACCTTAGAATTCTGATACAACGGACAGCAGTATTGTTTGTGAACTAAACTCGGTTTATATGTTACATCTTTTATTTTGTGGGGTAAAACTTTGACACCCTTTCTATTCTTTTTCTCTCTAGTGGGGTAGTTGATTAAGGTGGGTAGGTGGTTGGTCTGTGTTTGGGATAAGGTATTTACTCTCTGTTCTAGATTATGTGTGCCTTTATTTTGAGGCTCACATTTTGTCCTTCATTGAGTCACTGCTATCAAAATTTATTGGAAGCTTGATATTCCGCTAATTTTAGGGCATTTACTTGTCACACTGCTTTCTACTGTGTCACTGAGTATTATGTATTTGGACTGTCTATTTGAAAATTCATTGTTAATTGCATCACATTGTTATGATTCTGATTTCCTAGTGTTCTCTTCCATTTTTTCTGTTATCCTGGTCATGCAAGGTTGTTGGATGGTAAAAAATCAGTAAGAAGTTTGGCTGCTTAGCATTGCTTTGAGCACTTATTTACTTAATCCAGCCGGTATCTTCTGATGCTAGCTTTATGCAGTGGCATTGTCGTGAACAATACTTTTGAAAGTATTTGTAATTCTTAATCCAAATATGTTATTGCTCTCACTCAAGCTGGCAGATTAAACAAGAAAACAGAGTCTGGTCCCTCATAGATCAATGTGTTTCACGTAAGGGGAAACTCCTCTCTCTGATTTTACTTCATATCATGATTTTATTGGCTTGATTTGATACCTTACTTTTACTCTCTAACTTTACATTCATTATGATCTTGCGTTACCATATGTGGTGAATTACCTTATAGACTGACATTCAGCTTAAAGAGCGTTCAGCAAAGGCGTGATATGTGATATTCTTCCTCTTTCATGATGGAGTCCTATTGATGTTTCTGCTCTCTGTCAGTGCTGATTATTGTTCTTTTCCTAATCCTCTCTAAGTCTACCATAGGTTATTGTCATGTTATGGGGCATGAGTCAATGTTTGAATAATACTGGAGCAAGAAAGCACAAAATATTGCTGCTTTCTCCATCGAGTAGAGTATCTCATAGTTAAAAAGTATTATAATTGTTGTTTCATTTATTAGGTTGTGCTCCCTGTTGGCATCTTCTTGCTTATGCACTCTCCCATACAATTCCTCCACCTCGCATTGAATCCCTTTGAATTGTTAAATAATCAAAGTCTCCCTATTTGCATGATTATCAACTATCTAATGATGCTTTTGTGGCAAATTTGCTTTAATGCCTAGAGGCTTGAACAAATATTAAGTTACTAACATTGTGGCATTTATTTATTTAAAAAATACTAACACTGTGCCCTGCAGTGATCTTTAACTATCCCATGGTGAGTAACAATCAAAACCTCAAGCATGAAGTAAAGATGAAAATAGTCGGATCTCTTGTTGCAGTTGGTATAGCTATATTAGGTACTATTCTAGCGACCTATGTGCATAAATCATCTGCACCAAAGCGTAATTCAATTGGTACAAAGTACCATAAAACGATAATTAACTCCACTAAGGTGGATTGTCGAAACCAGATTAGAATGAGTAAAAGAGCTTACTTTATCTTGAGGAATATTCTTTTAGAGAGAGGAAATATCACTAATACAAAGGGGTTTCATTTGAAGAATAACTTGTGATGTTCATGCACATTCTAAGCCACAACCAGAAGAACTGAAAGATTGGTCATGAGTTTGGTCACTTAGGAGAAACTATCAGTTGACAGTTTAACCGAGTGTTAAATGCAGTCATAAGACTTAATAGAGAATTCTTCAAACCACCAGAGTCTAACATGCCACCAAAATCGCTTGTAAGAAGGGGACGTTGTTTCCTTATTTTAAGGTAATGTATATTGGTCATATTTATTGTTTTTTACTTGATTAATGTGGTAGTCGACAATATTTTAATTGCTTCTCAATATTTTAATAGGATTGTGTTGGAGTCAATGATGGCACTCATATCACGGCAACTGTTCGGACTGGTCTCCAAAAAAAAAAATCGTACTAGAAAGGATTTTACATCACAAAATGTGATGGGCGTTTGCTCATTTAACCTTCAATTCCAATGCATTATTGCTGGATGGGAAGGCTTTGCTGCTGATTCTCATGTTTTACAATCATCACTCTCCTGTTATGATCCTCTTGTAGTTCCCAATAGTATTTCGACTCTATCTTTGATACTATATTTGTTCACGTAACAATATATTATCAATTGATTTTAATCTCAATCAAATATTCATTTTGTAGGAAAATACTACCCTGTAAATCTCGGGTACTCTAATATCCAAGGATTTCTCGCCCCTTATCGTAGGACTCGTTAACATTTGAATGACTATGGTCACGATAGAGAAAGACCACAGAGCTATAAGGAGTTGTTTAATAAACGACATTCCTCGTTCAAAAATGCCATTGAACGTATTTTTGGAGTTTTGAAGGCACGTTTCCCTATCTAGAAAGTGGCAACTACCTATCCAATCAAAACACAAGTCAAGATAGTTATTGCATGTTGTATTTTACACAATTTCATTATAAGTGAAGACGATGACCTTCCTAATTATGAAGATGCAATATCTGATCAAAACCAGCCACCATCAGTAGAAGTTCTAGAGTCGGAAGTATTTGGGAGGGGTCAAAGGGAGAGAGATGAGTGGTTTGAGTTCAGAGATGACCTTGCGATGCGGATGTGGGCAGATTATAGGAGTCGTCTTAATTGAAACTCATAATTTTTATTTTTGTAATTGAGATGAATTCATGAGAAAAACTTTTGAGATGTAAACCTGATTTTACTTTATGTTTTTCTGTTAGATATTATGACGTTTTTAAATCTATGCAAATTTCTATTTTTCTCATGTATAATTTTGCTTTGTAATTGTATTTTACATTGTTATATTAGATGAATGCATTCCATGTGATTTTTTTTAACAGTTGAAGTGATAGTGATATTTGATAATTCATGTTAGACATGGCAAATGAAATTCCAATGACTCGGTCAAATCCCAAGACAGGGAGGAAACTTAAATGGACTTAAAAAATGAAGACAATTTTGTTGGAGCTACTTGTTGAGCAATGCTTGCTCATTTAGAAGCCCGAAATAGCTTTTAAAAATGAGCAATGTAGTGCAATTGAACAGAAGTTCAATGCCAATCTTGGGATAAGTTTGAGAAGGGATGCTTTTAATAATAAACTTAGAACATGTCAAAGAACTACAAGACTCTCAAAAAAGTGAAGGATCAAATTGGCTTTGGATGGAATGAAGAATCACATGTGGCTATTATCGATGATTCTTTATGGGATGACTATATAATAGTATGTGTATGTTTCTCATCTATCTAAGTTTTTATTATTGTGAAAAAATATAAATTAGATATTTAAGTTAATGCATATTATATTAATATTGATGTCTAATCCGCTTGCAAAGAACTTCAAAGGGAAGTCATTTGAATACTGAAAGGAGCTGAGCATAATTGTCGGCAATGATTTTGCCGAGGGTGCTAGTGCCAAGACGACAATACAACTAGAGAGGGACATTAATAATGATGTTGAAGATGTTTGAGAGACGATTGTAGGCTTAGATGATGATGATATTGAGGAAATAGGTGATGATGATGACTTCTCAGAGACACCGGTCCAATAAAGGACGAATGGAATGACCACCAATCCATTTGAGAAATCAACATCGGTTATGCCACCGAGGAAAAACAAGAAAACCATGGTTGATACTGTGGAGTCAATAGGTGTAGCCATGAAAGAAATTGGTGTTGCAATTATAGAGTTGAGGAAACCAGCAACAAACCCACATATATGAGAGGTCGGAGCTCTTAAACAGGTCCTCGGCCTTGCTCAATTCATCTATTGAAAAACTTGAGGGAAGAGATGGACCCACTCCTAGGATTAGGGGCAGTGTCGTTGAGACTATCGATCGCAAAGATCAGACCTTTACCAAAACTGTAAGAACTCTGTAAATTTCTGTGTCCCTGTCCATGGCCATGAAACCCTACTTACAGAGGGATAGAGGAGGTTGTTCTCCAACGTTCGACTTCTTCATGAAATCTCTGAGAAAACGTGGCCCTGTAATCCTGAGAAGTGGGTGGTTACTTTCTAGCCGTTAGATAACGACACTTTCTCTCTCTAAGAAGCCTCCTTTTTTTAGTGATAAGCATTAAATTATAAAAGAGAGAAATATTGCACGTTTAAAGGCCCCATGGCCACACACACGTATCAATATCTCCCACTTGACCATGAAAGCCAGATATATTGAAATATCATAAAGTCTTTACCACTTAATGAATTTAACATTTATGTGCATATTTTTGTCATGAGGCTTTCACGCACGTGCGGTTATACATCTCATAACAAAAAATATCCAAAGTCATGTCATGGTTGTTCACGTTAATG